TCGACTCCATGCCACGCCGCATTGCTGCAGTAATACAGGCCAAAGGAGGCCCAACTAAATACTGAGTGCTGTACATGCTCATACTTTTCATGTTCATACTTTTAAGGTGGCCAACATTTCTATAAATCCTTTGTTTTTATTGGTCTTCAGTAATATAATATATGTATATTTTTATTAATTATTTTACTCTTGTTATTAAGGTTATCTTACTTTCTAAGTTTGAACATTGCAGACAAGACTGATGATAATGAAAGCCTCTCTGCGGCCGGCAGAAAGAGAAAAGCTGCAAACACTGCAGAAGTTTCTGAGTCTGCAGGCTCTCCAGTTTTCACCTGCTGGCTGATGAAGTCTGAGCCTGAGAGCCGCTTTGAAAACGGCATTGATGTGAAGGTAAAGGAAGCAGGAACGGTGAAATGGAAGGTTCTCGTTAGAGCGAATAACCACCGTGCTTTATTCTGCAGTTCGGCATTGAGGACCTGAAGGCTCTACCCAATCAGACTGGCTGCTGGGACGGCGTCCGCAACTATCAGGTAGGTCAGAAAGCTGACTTGATGATTTATCTTTACCTTTTTTTTATAAATAACTCTATATGATGTGTGAAAATTTGCTCTTTGTCTTTAGGCTCGTAACTTCATGAGACAGATGAAAGAGGGGCAGCAGGCCTTTTTTTACCACAGCAACTGTAAGGAGCCGGGGATTGCTGGAGTCATGACAGTGAGTCCTTCCTCCCTCATTAAAGCATTAATGCAGTGTCTAACAAATGTATTCAGACTCCTTAAACTTTTCCCATTTATTCACATCACAATTAGAAACTCAAATGTATTGTATTCGGATAATAGACTAACACAAGGTAATGCATAATTCAGAAGTAAGAGGAAGGTCATACTTGATTTTATGAATCATTACAAAGTGAGGCATGCATTTATATTCAATTCAATTTATTTCTATAGTGCCAATTCACATCACATTTCATCTCAAGGCACTTTACAGTTCACCAGATCATACGGACAAATTGATTCAAAGTTTTCTATCTAATGAAAACCAGTTGATTGCATCGACTCATTGACTCAAATGCAATCCCTCTCACTAAGCATGCTTGTAGCGACAGTGGAGAGGAAAAACTCCCTTTTAACAGGAAGAAACCTCCAGCAGAACAAGGCTCAGTGTGAGTGGCCGACTGGGCTTTTTTTCTCCGGTACCCCTAAGCTTTGCTTCGGTGTTATTTAATCCCAGAATAAAAGCAACTGTTCTTTAAAGGCCTCAAACATTAAGAAAACACCCATAACACCAGAGGAGCTGCAGCGCCTCCCGGCTCAGGTGGCAGCATCTGTTGACCGGACAAATCTGCTCTTTTGCCGAAAGGTCATGTAAGGGATGAGGGCATTTGATGAGACAAAAAAAATAAAATTTTCAGACCTTCATGCAAAATCCAATGTGTGATGGTAAACTAGCGTATCGGGACACAACCCACACACTGGAACACCGATTGCAGCATTACGCTGTGGCGATGCTTTTCTTCATAGGGCGGCAGGGAAGATGGAGGGAAATGGAACCATTGCAGGGAGCTTATATGTTCTAAATCAGTCATGTTTGTGCTTTTATATTAAGCTGAGGATTTGTATGAATTACTGCTACTTTAATTTGGCTCTATTTATATGATTACTTTCCTTCGCAAAATAATTTATTTCATTTACAATGCTTTGCTTAATTTGTAAACAGCACAGTAAAATCATTTGGGGCAAATAATTTATCTAATTATAAGTTTTTCTTCACTTATTATTAATTGACTTATCAATAACTTTACTTCTACTGCACTAGATGTTGCTGGTTGATTCACAATAAATTCACTGTATTTTGTTTTTCTAATAACTGGGGACATAAAATACTGATTTGATAAAAGTTTATACACCAAACTATATCTATACTCATGTTTTTATCTTTTAATTGAATTGCAGAACACCACATATGCATGATCTAAATTGTTGACTTTTTACTGATTTAAGAGTAGTAAGTGCGCCTCTGCTTTCGTGTGCGTTAAAAATGCAGGAACAAAGGATGCTTCATAGCACTGTCAGTTCAATGCTTACCCCCCTTTAGCAACAAACAGGTAGAGCAGGCTGCACATGCCACACTATTTGCAGGCTTCTCAGATTTTAATTCGCTAATAAACATTAAAAGCCATGCATCATTTCACCTCCACTTTTTTTGCTTTGAAACTATGTCGATACGGTTGGAAGGCATTGTTGGTTTGATGCTCAGCTCTTGTTTCCTGGATCAGATTGTGAAGGAAGCGTATGTGGACCACACTCAGTTTGACAAGAAAGATGTCCACTATGATGCAAGCAGCAAGCCAGACAACCCCAAGTGGAGCATGGTAGATTAAAAACCTGATCTATTTAGTGTTTGCTAATAAAGGTCCTGTTTAACAGCTGATCCCCTTATTCCTCAGGTAGATGTTCAATTTCAAAGAATGATGAAGCGTTTTCTTCCTCTTTCGGAGTTGAAGAAATACCACCTCCAGCACCGCGCCAACGGAGGACCTTTGAAGGATATGGCTCTGTTTACCAGAGCCAGGCTCTCTGTTCAGCCACTAACCTCAGGTCTGTATGAATCGGACGCTGTTTTATTTTGTAATCCAAGGCTGGTTGTGATTGTTGTCTTTTATTCGTTTTCTGTAGAGGAGTTTGACTTCATCCTGAGTCTGGAGGACAAAGAACCGCTGTGAAGAGGGGATTCATGACCCAATAAAATCACTGGCTGTATCAACCCACTACTGTGAAATGGGCCTCTTGGAAATTTCACATGTTCGAGGATAATAAATTTGTTATGACTCAGAATCACTTGTTTTTTAGCTTTCTTTTGTGGGAATAGATTAAACCATTCCATACAAGACATTAAATAGAAGCCAAAGGAGGGGAAAAAACAGGATATAAAGGATAATGGGGCTTACAGCTACAGTAATAATCAATTTTTCAAGAGGTTTAAGACCATAGAATCCCAATAAAAATATTTTTAATGCGGGTATGTCAACCTAAAAGTCAAATAAATACACAATTTATGCTTTAATTATTTATAAAGTGGATTCATTTCTGCTATGGCTGACATAAAAATGGAGGAAACTGCTAATTTGACAGTGACACCCTCTATAATGAGGGCAAATATGTTTTTGTTAAAAAGAGACCGGTTGATCATGCTTGAGTACTTAAGCATTTTAACATAAAGTTGAATTGAAGGGAAAATTTAGCTATCAAGTTATACTGTAGATGAGCAGCATCAAACCTAAAAAATGAGAGTAAGCTAAAGCTGCCTGTTGGTCACATTGCATTGATGCAGTAATTGAAGTAAAGAAAGCAGGGCCGACAACAGAGTGCATTTATTTCTAATGGAATAGCTGAAATATTTATTCGAGTACATTCTAGTTTATTGAGATCTTAGCTCCTCCTTTTAGTACAGCTGGGTGATACACATAGTGTCAGATGTGTTAGTACAGTGAAATATGGTGCCTAGATGCAAACTGAGTGGGACTGTTAAAGATATTGTATATTTCTGTTAAACTAATTTTATAAGTTATTTTAGTTGCCCATCAAATAAGAAACAAATCTATTTAAACCATTCAGATCATGGAATGGTCTCAATTCAGTGACTATTCTGAATTGAACTGCTTTGCACAATGCTGATCTGTTAAGTTTCTGCTGTGTGCATGGCAGGAAGTGATGATGAAAAATGCAGCAATAGCTGCACCAAGTTGTGTATTATTACATCGGGGAGGGTGACTCTTCTTGCTGAGTCATGTATTTTTAAACAAGGAAAATAAGGCATCCGTGGAGCTTTAGGTTGTTCTTTTAACAACCGTTGGTTCTTAAGTAAAGAGTGCCACATTTCTCTTTTGACCAGTTTTTGTTTGTTTTTTTATTGGTGTCTGGGAGCGACAATCTGAATTTGTACTTTAAGGTTGAAATGATGTGAAGATTTAACATTTTAAAATGCATGGAATCAGCCTGCCTTTCCCAGGCACCTGGTGTTGATGTCCCTTCCTGTAGGTGATGCTCTATCATTGGAGCCAGAGCTCAGCCAGCAGGCTTGGCTCCAGGAGAACTTACTGACTTCTCTGATGGGGGTTGTGCCTGGTTAGAGGGTCATTCTTCATCTGAAACACGAGAGATCAAGTGTCTGGGTAGGAAGTAAAGCAAGGTAGGGCTAAGGAAGGTTTTCTTCCAATGATCTATTACTTATTGGATGAGAAGAAGCAGATGAATCGTATGCAAATTCACAATGATTGAAATATGGAGGTTATTTTCAGCAAAAATTATGTTTGACTCTACATTTGTATACATGCTTTCTTTTATTGATGCCTGTTTGTGCAGGTGTTAGCACATATACCTTACAGAAAGAATTGTTGGCCAGGACCTTTGTGCAGATTCATCAACTGCACATATTGATTTTTTAGATAGTCTGGCATTGGTTTTACATAAATGAGCCACTCTTCATTGGCCTTAGGTGTGAGTGTGCATGGCTTCCTGCATGTTTTAGATGTTTCCCTTGAGGACTGACCCCTAAAGACACGCCCTCTGGAGTAAATATAAGGACGGAGGCATTTAAAGGTTATATACTATTACAGAGGAAGGGCACTCATCCTTTTTTAATTATCACATTTTGATTTGAAGCCAAACACACATTTTTATTTTTTATTTTTTTAAAGCACATTAAATTACTTATTAGAAGAGGTGACGTCCATAATATACCCTTTCATTACGTAGGACTTCTATCTGATTTCATTTCAAAGAATGGCTGTCCTTCCTGCAATCATTGGAACATGTGCTCATCAGGCTTGGTACAGCTCATGACAAGACAATTCAGAGCATAGCTAAATCTCTCTGCTGCATTGTTCTGTTGGAACACAGGTTCTCTTCTACGTTATCCAGCAGCCCCTTTGTCTCTCTCCATTAACATTTAATAACCTGAATGTCAGCCCGCAGATCAGCAGTAATACCCGCTGACACTTTGATAACAGCAACACTCCACTGTTTTGTCTGTGCTGTGTCTTGAAATCCTTTCCAAATCTCTTTAATAGAAACACGACCCCAACATTCATCTGCATACAGCAGCCACATGTTCCTGGGCTTCATTGGGTTCCAGGGCGAGCTGCTTGCATTGGTATTTGACACCCTTTTTTGAGTTTTTGATGCAATAGCATGACATCTGGGCCATACTATTTATTAAACCAGTTGTGTACACATTTTTAATTGCTGCTAGTCAAAAATGATCAAGTTACAAGTAATTATGGGCCATATTTTTCTTTTTACATGTTGAACAATGAATAAAGCTTACAATGACTGTAACAAGTGTAACAAAATATATATTCCAGTCCCTAAAAATACTGTTACTCTTTGAATTATTGATTGATAAAAGATTCTTAGTTGGTTTCCAGCAGGAAAGAAATTCAACCTTTTATTTATTTTTTTTTATCCATAGTCTATTAAGCCAGGTGTTCTGATTTTAAAATCAATAAAAGCTGGATGCTTACATATTGTGAGATAAAAATGAAAGTAAAAGAAGATGGCAAACAAAATAATTAGATTAGATTTGAGAAGATATACATTTGTGATTGAGCATTTCCTAGATAATGTCTGCATAATCCATAGATGAAGGGTTGAATTGTACAACAGGGGCCAAACTATGGATATATCATGGCTAATTGTTTGGCGTTTAAAGCCCAGCCATTTTTTCAATAATGATATAGAACTGGTCTACTAATCGGCTAGAGCCCATACTAATGTGTCACTACAGGGCAGAATGTAGTGTTAAAAAGCTATAATGTGCTTTAAAGCAACCAATAAGAGACACGCTCATAAACCAGTGCAGTACGAACACTTAGCTAGAACTGGGTTAAACTGCCTTTTCCTTCAAGCTTCATCTGTTTGCTGTCCCTCAGTGTATGCGCATCAATGCAGGGTAGCAGCCGTGTGATTCGGTTGAATTCCTTTATGATATAAAAAAAAGCAATTAAACAGGTGTAACTAATTAATTAGCCAGAGTGCAGCTGACTAGAACATCATGATGCCTGCTAGGTTGAACTTTAGAAATACTAGTGCTTTCAGTTTGGCTTAGCATTAAGAGTTCTGTTCCCATTTAGAAACTAGTGCAATTTAGTTAGAAAGTAATGGTCGATTAAAGATACAGTTTACCATTAAAGCTACTTTGAAACCTCAGACCCAAAGTTGTATTTTAATTTAAATTACTGCTTCAACTTTGAATATCACCTTTTTTCCCCACATAGATTTTTAAGTCAATAAATTCACACATTCATGCAACAAACAAGTTTTTCCATTTGGCATCAATTTATTGGACGTTTGGGAATAAGGAATAATCGATAAGCATTTTGCAAAAGATAGATAGTTCTACTGTAATTTTTCTCTGGTTAAAAGACTAAAATCATGTTAGAGGCAGGAAGATTTTCATTAGCTTAATACACATAGGCACAACTTTCAAGTCTCTAATGAGGAGGATACAGATGACTCCGTACGGTCAGACCCTAATACAAACACTTCTCCGAAACACCACTGGAATGCTGAGGTAAAGCACATGGACATGACAAGGTCACTCTGTAGCTCGGTGTAAGGGATAATCAACCTATACAAGCTGGGACAGGTTAACAGGATTGACTGGTCTTATTTACATGTTAGAAAAAGAAAAATAAAGTTGTATCATACTTCAGAGCTCTTGTCCAAAAAGGATCAAGAGATTCCAGTTTCGGTTGTGTTTTGTGCAAAAAGAAAAAGGTGTTTAGAGAGATCAAGCAGTGCAAAGTAGATTCTGTTTTTTTAGTTTTTTTTTTTTCTTAGACCTTGTAGGAATTCATTCATTCAACGTGGAATGTCAGAGATTCACTTGGATGAACATTCTTTTTAAACAATAAAGCAAAAGAAAATGTATGTATCCAAAAAGTATTAGAAAGTAATGAATGTGATCTTACACAGCAGACAATGCGACAGGTGATTAGTTGGATTCCTGTACAGTAAAATAACAAAAAGCATGTGTGAGGAAGGAGCCTGAAGCAACCCTGAACGCCTCATGCAAACTGTTTTATAGTTCACACACGGTATTAGTGTGCTGCACGTTTTTTTTTCCTCCCTTTATTACTCGCTTTACCAGCACGGCTACTTGTAACACAGCTGTCTCGCCAGATGTTTGCACAGTTGTCAGGTGGTCATCTGCCTGGTGCAGATACCGGCGATCTGTGAGGAGGGCGCCGGTTTTTCTACCCGCTCTCCTCCTTGGCAGCCTGTTCTAGGGCGCTCTCTGAAGCGGCCGAACCCTCGAACCTCTGAGAGGCGATGGCGGCTTGATGGGACATGCTTTTCCTCACCACGTCTCCTTTCCTCCACAGTGTGATTTCCTGCAAGGGTGGAAATAAAATGTTTAAGCACAGTAATATTTATGTGCAAACATCGGTGTTTAACGGCAGATCAATTTAGTACAACAACAAGGATTAGTCATTTACATGCTGTGAAAAACTGTTTATTTTTAAAGGTTAGGAGTGTCGGAAGGAATGTATTTAATGTTAATGGCAAAATAATGATGTTATTGCATCTTCCCTATGTGCTGTTTTACTTTGTAAGTTGTAAGTTGTAAAGTGCTTTCATTTGTAAACTCTCTGAACCTTGAGTCATTCTAATACATCAATTCCTTTTAATCAATATGCATTGATCTATTATGCCAGTTCCATCCATTTTCTGTCACACCTGTCATCCCTGCTGGGGTTGCGAAGGGGTGCTGGTGTCCATCTCCAGCTGTCTAGGGGTGAGAGGCGGGTTACACCCTGGATGGGTCACTAGTTCATCGCAGAGACACCCAGGATAAACAACCATTCACGCACACACACTCACACCTAAGGAGAATTTAGAGCGCTTTGAGATTTGAATTCAAATGTAAAATGTGTTACAAAAAAAATTCATTATTATTATTACTAGAGAAGCCAATTAACCTAACAGTCATGTTTTTGGGCTGTGGGAGGAAGCCAGAGTACCCGGAGAGAACCCACACATGCACATGGAGAAGATGCAAAACTCCATGCAGAAAGATTCTGGGCCGGGAATCGAACGCAGAACATTCTTGCAGCATTGCTACCACTGTACCACTGAGCAGCCCCTATGCTAATTGATTTAGGTAAAAAAAATGGTCCAACAAGGTTCAGTATTCTCTGGTCTTGGTTCATTAAAAACTTGCAGAGGTTTTATTTGTATTCATATTATTTTTGCACACATTTCCAATTTCAAGTCACCCTGAGTTGTTTGTTAAATTTTACTCCATTTCTTTTGGCACTGCAACAATGTTAACGTTTTTTTTTTATTGGCGTTGTTTACTAACTGCATCAGACACTGACTGTCACATTTCACACATCAGGGGATTAGTCGTCATGTTTATGTACACGCATCAGAATTACAGAGATTAACAACGATCACTGCTTGGTCAGAGGCCAAAATTGGGACTTTTAAGAGTTGGGGGGAAAAAAAGAGAATTACTGCTCACAGCCTGCAAAAACACTAATAGTTAAGTGTTTGTGTTACCAGAACTAAAGACTGTTTTTATATTACTTGCACAGCCATGTTTCCACCAGAGAGGGGTTAACCTTTATTGTGATGCAGCCTCATGTATTATGCATCAGAATGCTGACGGTTGTTATTTAGGCAGGAGTTGGAGCATCCTCTGCAAAGGCTCCATAGGCATGGCCACTAATAGCTGCAGAGAAGGTGGAGCTGCAACAAGTCATGCTGAATATGGCTCTTTCTACAATGAATTTCTATGCATTTTACCTGCATTTAATCCAGACTCCGCGTTTAAATATTCTGTGTTTTTTTAACTAATGATTTAAATGTAGATGCTTCTAAAAGTGATCAGGTTTTGAATATGGAACATGACCAAAGCTCTGAATGGATGAAAGGAACAATGGAATTATCCAATAAACCAGCGGTTCATATTGATGAGTGTGAATTAATGACTTACTTTGGTTGTCATGAGTTGAAAAGTTAATGGTCAACAGGAAATCAATTCTTGAATTCAATCTGTATCCATGCAGGGGAGCGGCTGTACTTTTTAGGTCAATATTTATTAATTCTATGCTTAACAGGAGATAAATGCCAACTGTGCTCCTTCTTTAGTATAGTAACATGAAACAGTTTTATGCCACTCCAGATAAAGTTCCATAAAACCTCTGTGAGGTTTAAGTTATCGCCTCTTATTTTGCCATTTGATAGCTGAAAAGTCTGATTTATCATAATGTTCTTTCTAAAAAGCACGGATCTGACTGAGCCAGCTCTCTACGGTTTACTTTGTTCTTTTTTTTCTTTTACCTGCTGTTTGAAGTAGCGTCTTTCCTCCTCATCGATCAATACCAAATTCAGGTAGTAACGCACAGAGAACTTTTTGTTGATGTCTCTCATGGTTGGAGTCAGATCGTAACCAGCCAGAAATAATCGGATAGGAATAGATTCCCCTGAAACATGAAACGCATTGATTTAGTTTAAATGGCAGCTTTTTTTTTTTTAAGGTAGCACAGGTAATTCTACGTTAATAATTCAATGTTACCTCTAACCGGCGCTCCATCCATTATCTCATACTTTGCTATAGTATCGTTTTCATGGTAGACGCTCGGGCCCGTGCCAGTCGTCTCTCGTTTTATGATGTCAATCTCCATGTGCTTTATTTTAATCCTCACCAGCAGGAAATAGATTTTTCCCACAATCACATCTTTCAGATGGTATCTGTTACAAAACAAATTAGAGTAACTACATACCAATTCATTAAAATTCTTTCATTTGCTGTACAGGGATGCCTTCAAAAGTTATAAAGGGTGCAGATCTATTAAGGAAAAACATCTTACCGAAAATTTCTTAGATTTTGTTTAAATGTATTAAGGTAAATTTCAAATTTCACTTTTTAGAATTTAGAATTTAAAATCTAAAATCGTGTCATTCCTATTAGCACTAAAAGCCAACACAATGTTTCAAAAAAATTTTTGCTTTCAAGCACTCAAAAAACACATTCAGAGATAAAGTTTACACAACACAGAATTCCAGAGAATTAATGAGGAAAAAACTGGTAGAAATGCAAATAAAAAGTGTATATAAGTGTAAGTATAAAAAGTGTATCTGTTGCAGCCATATTGGATAATGAACTAACAAAAATAGAGATAGACTGACACATCAGCTGGACAATATTTTAGGCAGATATTAGCATTTTTTTTCTAGCATCTGCATCGCCATTCATTAATTGAGCAGCCATGCCTTCAGATAAACGCTATTCCCTCCAGCTGCTATCCACCGTAATCTTGTGTTTGATATTTCTTCTTTTTTTATTGACTAGTGTAATATTTGTTTTCTCCTGTTATTTTTGACTTGTAAATGGAGAAAGAACAACAAATATCAGCTTCACAAAAAACAAAAATAAACGCATTCAGGAGCCAGTTAAGCAGATGTCAAAATAATCGTCTCAGCCTAAAAAAGAGGGGAAAAGAACCTGTATTGATCAATCTCTTCACTTCTAACGCACCAGTGATGAAAAATGACTCTTTGGTCTTCAACTCCGTTTTAGTCAAACTTGGAACAGCATTCAGCTGTATTAATATAATGCTGGTAGCCTTTTTAAGAGGCAGACCTACCTCTACGATGCCGTCGATCAGGCAACCTTTTTACAAATATACCTGTATTTGACCAGTGGAGGGGGCAGATCTAAACCCCCAATCATTGATATTAATAAAATATACAGTGGAATTTAAACAAAAAACTTGTGTCTTAGCCATAATTGCCACGCTATGACCCTAGAACACAGAGTAAGAACCCTATTTTATAGCAAAGCAACCTCACTCTGTCTTTTTAAGACAAACATTGGGTTTCTTTTACTCAGTTTGAATATGTTAAGTGGACACTGCTAATAAGTCCTACAGTTATTTAGAAGATGGGAGTTAAAACTTAGAAAGAATTTACTGTTTTTAAAGTAAATCTTTTTGTTTATTCTCAATCTCTTACTTGGACTTGTTGTACTCAAACTCAATATGGAGACAGTCCTCGATTCCGACTTCCATCTTGATGGAGGAGTTGAGTTCAGGGTAGGTGCTCAGTGTGTGGACCACAATGTCCATTTCCTTACTTATGTCATTTAATCTTCTTATCACTGTGGCACGAAGGAAGTACCTGAAAATGCATGCTTTCAGTGGATTAAAGAAGTCAGCGGTCAAATGTTCAACTAAACATTTAACTACATGAGAGACAAGTTAAAATGTGACTCTAACAGTCTTAGTGCCAATAAAGCAGAGTGAATGATCAAACTTACCTTAACTTGACATTCTGGCCAGTATAAGACTCGTACGGTTTTTCAACATGAGTGAACTCAAAGTCAAAGGTCTGTGATTGGGTGATTTCACCGGGTCTTGCAAGATCTTTCACCAAGGAAACAAATTCATGATGGTTCCCTCGATCATAATACAGCTCTGGAAAAAAAAAAAAAGTAAATCAAAAGATAGTATTAAAACATATTTTCATTACATTTTAGAAGATCAGTGGGAAAGAAAAAAAAAAGTGGACTAGATGGATGCAAGGTTCTGGAGCAATACAGAAAAGTCTGGATATCCAGCATTCCAAGGTTTTTAATGAATCTAATGAGGGAAAAAACACATTATGTTAAGGACATGTTCTTAATAGTCCACAACATCTTAATGCAAACATTAATTAATATTCAGCTGAGTACATAAATACAGAGACCATGTTCTAAATGGACTGTATTTCAATTAAAAAAACAAAACAAACAACTGATACCAAAACTATAAAAGACTTTTTGAAGGAATAAACCCCTAAAGAGAGTTTCCTGTCTTAGTCATTACACCATATTGAAGAAATTGATTCAGAGCTACAGACTGATTCAATCGGAATAAATTACATAAATAATCAAACAAACCCAAATCTTTAAAAAAATCTATGTAACTGAAAGGACTTTACACCATTTCCATTTGGGTTTTTTTGTACCATCCAGTATTTGATCAGTGGGTTTAGATGAACTTTGACAATATACAAGCAAAATAACTGCATTTACTTAACACCTAAAAGTAGACATTTCATTCAATCACATAATCATTTCTCTTCATAACTTATTGTAAATAGAGCATAGAGAATGACTAAGGCATTTTTTTTTTACAAATATGCACAAGATCAAAACTATAAAAATGCAAATTCACCAAATGGTAGGATGAATCTTGCACTATAATTATTCTTGATCTGTTTGATAGTTGATTCTGTTATCATGAACAGAAATTTAAATCCATAACTCTCTAGATGCAGCTCCAAAATACGTGTTGAGGCAACGAAACATACACTAGATTGGTAATAGAAAGAAAATAACAATAAAGGCGTAACGTGTGCTCATTATCTTTATCTGCTTCCATCATTTTGTTATCTTAAGTATTTTCCACAACCTCCACATTTGTGTTCAGTCTTAGCAGATGCTGCCGAGTGAAGTGAATCTCTGCCCAAACTGGGCAAATTCGACATTTGAATGAAAATTAAAAGTCATACTACTTGGAATATATTGTAATATAGCTTGCAGCCCTAACACAGTCTTAGAAACAGGATTATTTTCAGATTATTTCATACAGAAAGAGATATTGCAATAATCCACATTCAGATTCATTGATCAGTCTCTCTGTCATATAGAGCGTTACCAATTCAGGACAAATAAATAAATTCAGTTGTGTGCCTGACAAGATTGTAAATGCAAGCAAAAAACATTTTTATAGAAAAAAATAAACAGTATACAAAAAAATAAATAATCTGATCTATCCCCATTCTTACAGCTATGTTATCTCTAGCATGAGGTGCTTCCATCAGTCCAGGTTTGACTATAGCCTTGACCCAATGATGCCTTCACTTTCAAAAGGCATTTGACACATGTTAAAACTAAACCTAGTGATTACGGACAAGCCTCCTAGCTGTAACATAATCCACATCAACCTGTTAGCATAATGAAACACCATTAAGGTATTTTGCATCACAATAAGTAGGACAAACTCCAGAAATAATCATCATCCAGCTCTGTGTACTACTTTTCAGGCTCATATTTAGGCACCTTTTTCAGTTCAACTGAAAGACCATGGGTACGTGTTATTTTAATGCACTTTTAATCTTTATGTTTAACCATTCTCAATCCCTTTCAATAATAATAAACCTAGGATATATCTTTAAACTTTATGACATTGTTTTGAATTTTAGGCAATAGATCAAAAACAGAGATTATGGAATAAAGATCATCTTTGGCTTGAGATTTCTACTCATGAAAATGTGACGTGCATTTTAACTTGCCATTTATTTATGATGATTGGATAGTATGCCCCCAAAAAACATCTGTAATGCTATATTTCTCAATTATGGTCAATAAGATATAATTTTGGTATCTATATAATAAACAAATGTTACAGGGAAATAAGTCCTAAAAAGGCTGTGTTAGGTTAAATGGCTTCTCTAAATTCTCTTTAGGCGTGAGTGTGTGCATGAATGGTTGTTTGTCCTGTTTGTCTCTGTGTTGCGATGGACTGGCGACCTGTCCAGGGTGTACCCCGCCTCTCACCCGTAGACATCTGGAGATAGGCACAGTACCTCTCATGACCCCACTTGGGATTAAGCGTGTCAGAAAATGGATGGATGGATGGATATGTTCTGTTAAAAGTTCAGCATTAAAGATGCATGGGACACAGTGACCAAGCGGAAGAAGGTACTCTAGTCATACACCTAAATGTAACTATTTGGCCTATACAAATCAAAAAGTGTCACAATACACAATAGTGCAAATCCCTAAAAATACAAACCTTGTAAAATACAGTTTTGGGAACATTAGGTTCTCCAGAAAAAGGAAACTAGTCATGGGGGAGAGGAAGGAGCAAATTACATGAAAGAAAGAACTGATAGATGTTGCCAACGATTTGGAAATGAGGAGGAAGTTCACCTACTGAGGGACAGTGCATCAGAGCAGCCCAAAATACAACCAGTAAGCTTTTAAATCATCATTCACAGATGACCACTTACTTAGCTGGCAGAATTAGAGCTATTTTGCTAAGAACTTTAAATCTTTAAATCAGATGTTTCAGTCATTGATTTCAAAATAAATCTGTTCAGAGACACAAAAACAAATGATCTCTCAATAAAAACCCAATACAATGCATTAAAGCCTGACGCTGTGAAGCTTATATTCACTGAATGAGCTTTGCTTGTCTTCCAAAAAGCATTACACAGGTCTGTTAAAACACTTTCTCCCCCAACTCCAAAGCTTCCCAACTGCCAAATTTGTTTAAAATAAACGCGATGCTTTATGCAGAGGTTTTAAATACTAAACCATAGTAATTTCCCTCTGGAATTATTAAAGTATTTCTGATTCTGATTAGAACTGAATAGTTAACATGTGTTTTCCTGTATGACCAATACCTGAACCCACCTATTTGGCCGACAAATTCAATTTTGATGCCGTGATGCTCCAGCCTCTTCCCGGGGTTCTTCAGCGTCACGTTCACCTTTCCGCTGACTGTCTCACCGTCGTAGAAAAGAAAGTATTTGTCTTTCTTCCCATCTTCAGTCTTGTGTTCAACCTTCTTCCTCGTTTCGGCGTCATTCAGGACAACATCGATTTCTGCACTTTGTCCAAAACTAAAGAAACTCATTATAACGGCAGGATTGCGCCAACTCTTATCTCATGAAAGTTATCGTAGCCTACTGACTTGTTAGCAAGCTAAAGTGGAAAAAAAAAGGTCCCCCCTCCTTTCAACGGTGTTTCAAACCAGAAAACAAACACACATAAGGCCTTACAGGGTGAGTAAGCTCACTTCCCCTTTTTTAAGACCCAAATAAGCACTTAGTCATGAAAAACGAACAAATATTTTACAAAAGGAAACTAGCTACAGGTCCATACTGGCGACGAACTAGCACTATGACGGTTAAACCCAAACGCACATGAATATGTCTGTTAGCAAATTAGCCGTTTCCGTTTTTTTCTCTTCTTTTATGTCGGACTCACTGCAACCATTTAACTGCCTTCAGCGAAGAGTCTTCGGTGAACTCAATTGTCGAAACGGAATTGACTCTTACATGTTTGTGCTCTGACAGATAAGACAGAGGATGTTGTCAAACCAACAAGCAGTAATGTTAGCTCAGGCTACTTGCGCTGTTTGGACTACTTCCGGGTGGATGTTTTCAAAATAAAACCGGAAAGGAGGAATTGCGGTGGGAAAACTTTTAAACTGAAATATCACAAGTTGTTTCTAAGTTAAAACACACCAGCCTTATTTAAAAAGACAAAAAACTATATTTTGTTTTTTCCATTAGCTTTGAGGCATGATCATAGAAAAATTATGATAGCACATGTTTTTCTCAATATTCTGTTTTACTTTGATGACTTAAGTTTTTCGAATCATTATGTCTTACATATATTTAAAAACAATAATATTCACCTCACTATGTTTTGTCATAGAAAAGCTCTCTAATTAGTCATGCATACATTTTTTTTCACACAGAAAGAGAAATGTTTAAAGTTGAAGTTTACAGAAGGTTGAAAATAAGAAACAAGGTTTCTTACCAAATCTTTTCAAAACAGTCTGTGTAACTTGCTCAATGTAAAGGGCTTGTTCTTGTAATTGAGATTTTTAAAAAAAAAAGAAGATTATAAATAGATAAAGTTAAAATGAATGAAATGAGCTAAACCTTTTCCCCACCTATATAAAAAAAAAAAAAACGTTAACTGAACATATGAGAATAAATTTACCAGAAATACCAAACTTCACCCCATTGATGCTTTGCCTGTACTGTATATTTAGACTTGTCATCCTGTTGGAAGTTGCACCTTTGTGTCTTTTGTCGCCTCTAACAGGTTTTCGTCTGGATTGCAATGCATAGCACCACCCATATTAAATTAGGTAAGATGTGTGGATCTTTAGGTAACTCCTCAATTAAGTCGACATTTACAGAGAACTCCACTGATATCTATCTTGTAGAGATTCTACCTGCAGTACCTGCTTTGCTTTTTTTGCATCTTCCTCTGAACTTTTCCAGAACTTTATCCCAGACTTGCCGAGATTGTACCTTTCTGCTGTTTGTTCTCTAATATTCAAAACATCTGAGGCCTACGTAGAACAGCTCTATTATCTGATATAGTTTCACACAGAAGAACTCAATTTCCTTACAAAAGCGTGGATATCCAATGGCAGTGGAATATTATTATCCACTGCCATTGGATATACCGTACTGTAGTATATGGTTCTTCATTCTGACCAGGTGTCTCACTGTATGGTGTGAGGGCTGCAGCGCCCAAGACTGGAAGAAGGTGAGAAGAGTAGTGAGAACTGCAGAGAAGATCCTCTTCCCTCCATAAAAGACATTTCATTCCAGCGCTGCGTGTCCCGAGCCCGTAACATTATCATTGACCCCTCACACCCTCACCATGAACTGTTCTCCCTGCTGCCTTCTGGGAAGAGGCTTCACAGCATCCGATGGAGGTCGAGCAGATTCCGCGACAGCTTCTTCCCCACTGCCATCAGGCTGCTTAAGTGTTGAAAAAACTCTAAATTATGTCACCGACTCTGCATCAAGCTGACCATATCAATATTGTTTTGTACACACTCAGTGTATACAAAATGACTATAAAGTTTGTGTAGGTATAAGTCTTATTAGTTATCATTTACCCCCCTCTTACAGTCATATTGTAATTTTTCTTTTTGGTTTCGCAACAAACTAATTTTCTTTCTTAAAAAACAGTCAACGTTTTAGTTCACATAATTTATTTCCTTATTTATTTGGCTTTTTCCCTTGATATAAAAAAAAAATATATATTTTCAGAAATAATTTCCACCATGGAACCCCTTCCTACCGTTTACGCTTTTAAAAAATTACTGCCACTACCAGATTTACTAAATCATTCACAAGAGGACACTCATTTGCTTGTGCAGTTGAAATGTATTTAATAGTAACAAAATAACGTGTAACATGAATATCAAATAAACAGCAGACGTTTTACAACAGTTCCTGAGTTGTTACACATAAACATTTACACACGCCTGCATAGAGATAACTGTTGCTACTGACAGACGCAACACTGCAAAACACACTAAGTGAATACAGTGAAATTTATTTGCAACAAACAATTTATTCTACTATTTACAATAAGTTATCTAGTGTGGTGCATTCAAATGAAAATAGTATTTATGTAAGTTCAAATAATACTGAATCACAACTGGACAATATGTCCTATAATCACAAAATAACTTGTTACACGAAAAGGTCACTTATAAACAGCACTCCCCAAAAATTATTTGAACACTTTTTTTTGGTAAATGTTAACTTTCAGCATAGTTTGATATACTTTTAAAATGTATTGTTTTTATCTGTACACTCACATATTTAGTATATTCAAGAACATAATATAAAAAAGGGCTGATAAAGTGTGCCTTATGAGTTCTATCTGATCAGCCTTTTACAGTCTGCTACTTTTTTCCTGTCTATCTACAGTATATATACAATATTCATCTGTAAGTGAAACTATTAAGGACATGTTTTATTGATCTAATGTAAAAGTTTTCAAAAACAAGTTCGCTCCGTAAAAAATTGAAGGACTATATAAAAAAGGACCATTTAAAAGAAAAGGAGAGGGATGTAGCTTACAGTAACTTGCAATATCACTGAGGGCCAAATATCAAATATTAAATTTCACAGCTTTTAAATGCTTTTGTTGTACAAACAAACATGTTGGTAAAGAAACTCGAACACGAAAAAAAAAAAACAGTTGTTTAACGAAACAAGATAAAAAAGAAATGTGCTGTAAAAATATTTGGTGCCACAAATTTGATGAGTACTTTGGCAAGTCGGTTGAGTTGATGTGCATCTGAGAGTAATGTGCCATGTTACACCTTAGATGTCATTAGCTTGAGCATCATTGTTGCTAGGTAACCTTAAGAGCTTTCTGTTTCATCCACCAGCTTCTCCCCATGACTTCTGTCAAATGATGAAGGAAGACTTGTGGCGGAAATGACCCTGTAAAAAACAAAAAAAAAAAGGAAAATCGGGAAAAAAAAAATTAAAATATCACAACCAGCTTGGTGATTACATATCAAAAAAGGATTCAATTATAATAATATGCTGTTTGTAATTTCTGGATTTCATCTACCTCATCTGCATCAGCATAATCAACAGCAGGAGCCTGTGCTGGAGTATTGTAACTAAAAAAAGAAAAGAAAAGGAAAAATAGGAAAACACAATGAAATAAAAACGAAACTCCCTTAGTGGACTTTATAGATTTTAGAGCTAAACTGTATACTCACTTGTTTCCATTGTAAACACTTTTGTAACAGCACAAACGTTTCATCACATAAATAACAAAAATCAAAGTGACAACTGCCATTAGTCCACCGCAAGACTGGAGGAAAATTCCAAGGACATCGATGTCACCTGCAACAAGACAGAGGAGTAGTGAGGGATCCCATAAAGTCAGTATTCAAGATCTGTTTGCAAACACCGAGGAATTAAATGCAGATGCTTCGCCTCCTATTTAGCCTTGATGATAAGTCAGTAACTAAAATATAGTATATTCTTTTATGGGCTTTCAAAGCGCACTTTGAAAAATGAACAGCTCTTATGGAAAGAAACACTTTTCAGTGTGATTACTGTTACTGAGGGAAGAAGAGTGAAAGCTAGCTTTTTTCAAAATCAGCGATTAGAAAATAGGTCAGAGAAAGCACAGAGATGTAAGACGCTACAATATGTGAACACTTGTTAGCAGTTCATTCACTGCTGGGCCTGGGAGAGAGACTGAGATGTTCAGTAGACAACAGGAAGGCACATTATACTTCAGGAAAGTTGCTCTTTTTGATTCTTTTGAGTTTATACCTTGTTATAAAAAAATGTTAGTACCAGAAACGTAGGCAGACTTTATGGAAGTCTCTGAAATAATGACTCTCAAAGAAAGGTTCTAATTAGCTAAAATAGTCTTGCATAGAGCAGACAGTAGCTTCTAAATCCTGAGATTCAAAATTTACCTCAGAACTGATCTGTGCATCTCTAATCAGCATTAGGACAAGGTAGGTGTGACCTGATTTCCTGCTAATTAAACTAAAAGTTGCTCTTACTGTAGAGCCCAAAACTTATTGATATCCCCGGCAGACTTAGATCACATCATTACTGTGACCAGACTTAGATCACATCATTACTGTGACCAGACTTAGATCACATCATTACTGTGACCAACAGACAAAGGCAGTCTTCTAATATTCTATGATATTTTATCATTTTATATTTAACTTAACCTTTTTATGTGTAATGTTTCTTTGTAGCACTATGAAACCTTCCTATATAAACTACCTATATAAAGTGCACTATAAATATTTAGCATTATCATTATTCAAATAATTATCATCATTATTACCTCAAACTACATGGCTTAGAACCTCATCTTTCTATCAAGATCCCTCTCAAACTGCTAGAAGAACATGCAATCTGTTAATACAGCTGAATAAACCAGCAACATACCCAGTTATTACACCAAAAACATCTTGCCCAAGCAGGTTCGTACTCCTTATTTTGAATGTTTGAAGAAAAAGTCCATAATAGACATAAAGTTTTTATTCTTAGTTCTTTTGGTGATTCTTTTTATCATTTTTCTTTGTAGTTGAGCTGAGGAGAAATTCTTCAAAATAAAATAAAGTTTTAACTCGCTCCTTCTGTTAAACCTCAACAAAATTCTGGAGTTCAAATACCATAAATGAGTAGAAAAGCACTCAGAGAGCACAGACCTCATAGCTAAAACTTGCACATGAATTGGATCATTACCAAATTTGAAAGAATTGTTCCTCGGACTGAGGTGCACCTTTGTGAAAAAATTTCGATTTAAATCCATACATAACTTTTCAATTAATGCTGTACACAGATCGACACACACACCAACTCGACTAAAAACATAACCTCCTCGGCGGAGGTAATGATTTAAAGGTAGTAATTTAAAGGTACAACTCACAGACTTCCATTGTTTTTGGAGGGCACTGTGCATATCCAGCATCATTCTTTGCCTGGCAGTAGTACTCGCCTGCATCCTCTTTTCTCACACGTCGAAATTTCTGGGGAGATAATAAAAAAAAAAAATCTTCAGTCCACTGGAACACAGTAGGGCTAGATTATATGGCTAAAACATCTACCATGAGACATTTCTTTATTTCAGTCAATATATAATATAATTTAGATATGAATATAAAATAAATGAGAGCATCAGGAAGATGCCTCTACAAACCTATGAGAATTATTCTGCCGTGTTTATTAAACTCCTCCCATAAAACAGTTAACAAGTATTTGCTTCAAAAAGCAAAACAGATATAACGTTGACAAATGCTGTAATCATACTGTATACTGTAATGTATACTGAAATATCAGAAATGTCATATATATTGATATTGCATACTGACATTATCATCATACCATTGGTCACAGATAATCTGAATACTTAAGAGTATCCAGAGAAGCATGACAAGTGGTTAGAGCACAGCACCGTGTTTAATGTTAAATGCACAGAAAATTTTGACTGAAAACTACAAAGTTAAAATGACAAACAAAGATATATAGATATGTTTGGTTTTTATTATTATGGGAGGACTCAACATTCACATTGACAATCCTGAAGACAGAAGTGTAATGTTTGTTTAACTTGACATTTCAATGAGCAAACACAAACAGGGACATATTGTGGACATGATCTTCACTGAGCGTCCAAACATTCCCAAAGTGTCTGTAATGGATGATTTAATCACTTTCCTGTTTATTTTTAAATTCAATGACTCAGTTATCTAGAGACAGAAAAAACACATTATTAAGGACTATTCTACTGAAAGCTTTAACCAGATTTATTCCTCTACCTGCTATTTGCCCTGTAACTCGGAAGATGACTTAGTTTCTAACACCAGCACAACAACAATACAGAGATTGAAATTGTTTCCGTAAAGAAAGTTGCATGAAAGAAAGGTTCATTATAAATATCCAAAATTATTACATCCACAACAACTACATTGTTTTTAGAGATCTAAAATCTAACAGATGTTATTCTTATCTGGTCAGAGTTTTTTTTTTTTTTGGTAAATAATAAACATAGAAGATTTGCTTTGAGTGGAACATTATCCTCCTTTCATATGTCTCTGTCTGGTTAAGCCTCCTTGCTGGATATCTTTGCACAGAGGGATTATTCTTGCAATTAGTCATTCATTGGTTAAAGGTTTGTTTCAGATTAAGCTTTTTATGTTACATAAGCTGTGACATACTACGTTTAGGCCTAAGGATTTCTGCTAAATAGATTTAAAAAAGAAGCTTGTTTCAGGTAATATGCAAAAAAAAAAAAGAAACAAAACAAAAAAACCTATATTTCTGATAATATGTTTTCATGATATTAAATGAAATGTGGTAATAAAAGGCTTTTCAATGTTTTAGTTTGTTTTTACCAGGCTTCCAGTGTCAGGGTTGATGATGTAGGAGAAGTTGAGGAATCTCTGGCTGGTTTTCGGATCCTGAGGAAGCTCCTCGTTGTTGTGGAACCAGCGGTACTGAGAAGCAGGAAAACCTTCGTTTTCCAGACATCGCAGCTCTGTGGATGTTCCCACTGTGACCGACTCTGGTACACTGCACCGTGGTACCACAGGTTTCACTGCACACAAGCAGAAACTACCATCACTACAACAATGTTGGACATTGTTGCATTTACTTCATCCCATGGTTAAAATGAGGATTATTTTTCGTTGTTTTTTTTTGTTGCAAATCTCAGATTTTTGTGAAGCTCTATGATTCTAATTTCTCTTTAAGAATATGCACACATTAAAACAACAAACTATTATTAAAACACTGTAAATCATATATGTGAAAGAAACAATGCTGCATGGAGGGTTGTGACTAAAACAGTTACAAGCGTTTAGAGGAGCTATCGGTGTAGGAAAATGGCAATCTCTTTCTGTACATTCCAGAATGTAAAGACATTTAAAAGTATTGTAAAGGATTTTTTTAAAAATACCCGCCCTCTCTCCACTTAAAAAAAAAAATGCGTGTGCAAGACCATAAAGTGTGCTGTTCTCATAGCACATACAAGCTTCCTGAGTCCACATTCAGCGGGGACTATATAGTGGACTTTAAAGCAAACTGACCAGTTTCAGACAGATGATCACTGCTTTTTGCCCCGTTGGTCAAGTAATTCCTCCTGCACAGCGCGGTGCCATCGCCATCTCGGCTATTACTTGCCACTGTCTGGTAGCACAGCGTGCAGCTGTGACAGCAAATCCCATGATGCTTTGCGAGGAGAATCCTCTGTGCAAAGCATTCTGGGATATATCTGCCTCTTCTGAGGCCTTTCTTTTCTTCTCATACACTTCATAGACACTTTGTCTCTTACGACCCTCGGCCATTTTCAAAGAAAAGCGGTGAGAAAGGTGAGCTCTAATGACTATCTGAGACTGTAGCTATCCACAGATATATGCCTGAAAGTGCACATGTGCAGAAAAAGATAGCTAAAGGGTTAAGTAAAGCTTACATAAATATATCACCAGAATGATTGACAATTAGGACCACTTATTTAGATGATCCACCTGGAAATAAAAGATCGTCCTCTATACCTTTAAGCTTAAAAAAAATTATTCCAGTCACTTTTTTATTGTTTACTTTCTATTTGGGTTTTAATATAATAGTATAGAAAATGAATTAAACTGCAACGATATGTACTCATATCATTAAATGGTTGTGGTGGTTGGTGGCTTAATTGACTGAATACATCTAATGCAACGAGCTGCTGAGTCGATGTATGTCTGGATACATGCACAGTCTTCGGTTTGTGTATACCAAGAGTAGCAAAGACTGCTGACGCTCATTCTTTTGGTTGTCCCTGTCCAAGTCTAGTGTACTCAAGGGGATTTTGAGTCTAAATATAAGCTTAGAATTGCCCGCCTAGGTCAGAAAATGCTACTGTTAAGGAATGCAAAGTTTTGCAGTGACTGTGATGAGGCTAAGCAGTAGTTCAGTAAGCCCTTATATAACACCCAAAGGGTTCTTTATTGATAGAAGTGTTTATTTTTATGGAAGAAACTCAAAACGGCTGAACTAACTCTATAAACTGCACTTAGCATCTGTATGTTGCTAAGTACTTTAGAGGGATATGTTGTTCAGTTTTTAATCAAGTCTATTAACCTAAACCAAATCAGAAAACATGTGGTAGTTCTGCAAAGCTGTTCATCAGAGCAATCCCCAATGTCAAAAATGGTTCCCTGGCAAACTTTGCCTGACTGAGCTTCATATTTTAGGGACAAAGTGACATTGATCCTCTGATCCAACGCTGGATGTTAAAGGGCACACATGAAAAACAAAAATGGATTCTACAACCTCACTTTGCTGTTTTGCTGTTAAAACTCATCTTAGACGGAACTAGTTGACGTGCATAGAACACTTCAGTTGCTCTGGAGTAAGTTTGCTCCCCATACCTCTAACTGCGAGACTAATGAGTATCTCATCAAAGTCTCTTTGATCTTCGATGGCGGCCACTTCGCAGCGGTACTCTGCGGTGTCTGCTCGAGAGGTGTTGAAGATCAGAATGTTGGCTGGCTCTCTGAGCTGAGCTCTGTTCTCCAGGTCCCCTTTTAGTGAGAGAAGAAAAGTCTTTACAGTTCCTCATTCAAATACACAGTGTGACTTCACGCTTCGAAAACAGAGCTCCTTAAAGGATCCATTCATTCATTTGGCTCAGCTTGGAGCTCTGAGGCGATGCTTTGAAACGCTGTGGAACGCTGGGACTGTCCAAGAGCTTTACCTGATATCTTGTTCTGAAAGTAAACATAGCTGGGAACCCCGTTTTTGATCTTCTTCCACTCTATCCTGGGGTTGTTTGTCGAAATGGACTCTATCAAACAGGTCAGTTCAATGGCTGTGGAGACAACAGCACAAAAGAGACAAGAAGAGATCAAAAGAGAGGGAAAGAGGGTTTAGAACAGGAAAACAAAAGGTAACCTTGATAAAAAGGTTGGACTTGTTCTTCTGCAACTTACGCTCAAACTCATTTGCCCAAACAATCTTGTCTGTGGTTCGGAGGATTACTCCAAACGACGATGGAATGTGTACTGGGAAGAAAAAAAAACAGAAATAAAGAAAAACAACGAACATACTAAATCCTGAGTTACCCTCAGAGGAAAGACAAAGCATTTTTATCAGTAGACATTAATAATCAGGCACGTTGTCGGATAACCAGTCGATTAGACAGATAAAAAAGGAGAGCGTGAGAGAGCCTTGGGATCTGATTCAGTATGAAAATGTCTCATTAATTATATCCTATTTATATATTTAAGGAGTCTAATGCCTCGGGCCAAAACACTGGAGTTCTACAACTTAATGAACACGTGGACCACACAGAGAAACTGACATATTCTGACTTTACCACTAACTTGATACTTCCTGACAGATAATAAAATAATTATTGAACCTGGAAGAGCTGTGCTACATGAAACCTAAATGATCAACGTTTTTCATAAACTTGGTACAAATGTTATGACAGTTATCTGAATGTTAAAAAGCTTCTGTTTAAACTCCAGCCGGATAAAAAAACACACATTGTGAAGTTTTATCACAGGTTATGTGCTCACAGATTCAGAGGAATGCAAAAGCATAATAATAGCCTTTTTGTGATGCAAGACACATTTTAGGAGGAGACTGCAAGCTTTGTACTTTGTGTTTGCAGTTCACCCCGAGTAGGAAAACTAAGGTATAGAGCATTCTTTTAGTTTTATTTATTTATAAGCTAAGAGGCACTGAGAAATGGGCTGGGAAATGCCATTCTCCATCCTTAAGCTAAATCAGCCCTGAACAAAAAATCAAAAAGGAAAAAAAAACTTCTTCTTTTTCCACACAGTGGGTCACCATACTGAGTGACTAGAAACTAACCCTTAATCCTTGGGTGAGGATGTGATAACTGAGAGAAGACTAAGATCTCAATATTTTCAGTTTCAGCCAGGGGTTTGAAAATGAATACAGAGGAAGCATGGAGAGGTTAGAAGTTTTTCTTTCTTAATGTCAGGTTCATTCAGGTTACAAGAGAACCTGTCAGGAATTCAGATAACAGGAAGGCTGAACTCTTATTCTTTACCATTTTCAACCTCCACCTTCCATTGATGACGCTGGATTTAGAAATGTTGTCAGATAGAGTAAATATAAGGATCTAAGTTCTCTATAGGTACCACATGCAAACTGTTTTAGACTGCCCTGATTACCAAACTAAGATGCTTAAGATAATTTAGCTTTTCAGTCAAAAACAAAATGGAGAAGCCACTCAGCCCCACACCTGTGGGTTGGAAATCTGCATTATATTCAGATCAGTGCATCTTTAATAATAAGTGGGTAGCACTGCTGCCTTGCAACAAGAAGGCTCTGGGTTTGATTACCAGCCCAGGGTCTTTCTGCATTGAGCTTGCATGTTCTCCCTGAGCATGCATGGGTTCTCTCCGGGTACTCCGGCTTCCTCCCACAGTCCAAAAACATGATTGTTAGGTTAATTGGCTTCTCTAAATTGTCCTTAGGTGTGAGAGTGTGCATGATTGGTTGTTTTTCCTGTGTCTCTGTGTTGCCCTGCGATGGACTGGCAACCTGTCCAGGGTGTACCCCGCCTCTCGCCCATTGACAGCTGGAGATAGGCACCAGCACTCCTCGCGACCCCACTTGGGATTAAGCGAGTAAAGAAAATGGATGGTTGGATTTTTAAGATTGAAGTTTGCACAGGTACAGTAATATGTTTATCTGATACAAATAAAGGTAAACTGTCAAAATTTTAGTAACAGCTTATTACAAGTTTCTTAAAATGTCATTCTTTTTATAATTTCTTACTACCCACAAATGTGTGGATGACAAAAATGTCCTTGGAGAAAATTAGGAATCGATGGACAATTGGCTCAACAGATTTTACATATTTGATTGTATAATGTCTGAATTAAGATAAAAAAAAAACAGACAAAATAAATGAAAACTTGAGAGACCCAATTCTTTTCTATACCTTAGGTTAATGTTAGATACTTTTATTTAATTAATTTTTTTTATTTATTTTATGTCAGATTTAAAAATACCTATTTTTTGTATTAACCTCAACAGTTTTTATTTTTCTTTAGGTTTTACAATCACATAACAATATTTTCAATAAACATTTTCCTCTGTAAACATCTGTTCCCTTTTAGATTGTAATAATCAACCATCTAGATTGACTTTGGTTCAGACAAAATGCATGATATGAGCTAAATTTAAGGTTCACTGATTGAATTAACTGCTCGAAGCCATTTGTGTTATTTTCTAAATGTCAGACTGTAATGGCAAGTGGCATAATTCACAGGTTCTATCAAAACGGGGCCAGAAAGAAAATGTCAGCTTAATTGAAAAATAGATAAGGATGAACGGGTACCAGTACAACAACAAATAAATAAAATCTTAAAGCTGTTATTCGGCGTGTCTTTGTTCAGTGCTACAGATGGATCAGTATTCTGTTTGCTACCGGTACCCTGCATTCAACCTTTTATGTCTAAGCCACATTTAAATGCAGTAATTGCTAGGGAGACCAACAAATAATAGCTCCCACACTGAGTAACGAATGCGTTCCTGCTCGCAGTGGGGGCAGAATGAGGGGGGTTGTAAATGAGGACAGAAATAAGACAATAATAATCATCCGAGCAGCTCCTGAATACAACAAGACATGCCTGTTTGCCAGAGGCATGGTGCACTCAGAGGTATTTGTTCAACACATCCTTGTTAGCAGATGAGTGACCCTGAGATGTGCTGCATGGTATGACAACAGGGATGGGTGACGCTTAGTCAGAAAATGAAGAAACACGAGGTCCCGCTAAAGTATCCGGTCATATAAACACAGCCGAGGACACTGATGAGATTTGACTCCCAGGTCTCTGCTTCCGTCTCTGCTGCTGACTTTCCCACTCTGTGCATCAAGATCTATTTTTACTGCAGCTTTGACTGGACGTCCTGTGAAACTCGAGGAGGCTCCGATCAACAAATGCTTCCCCCACATATCTTTGTACTGTCTTCTAACAGCTATTATACGGCTCCTTCTGCAGCTTCAGACTCTGCAGTTATAGTGGACACATTTTGGAACTAAAAAGCCAATAACTAGCAGCTTGTTCTATTGTAGACCTTAGCAAAATCATTCATACTGCATGAACTTTCTTCCCATTTAGACATTCCCATTTTCCATCTGTTTGTCCAATTATCATACAGTAATCCGGAAAGTGTTAAAGTATTTAAGACAGTATTTGCATGGATTCACCTTTGGCAACATGTTTTAAATAGGGTGCCGCAAGCTTCAGATCTCTTCAGATATTCAACCAGGTAGAAGACGACTATGGCTTGACAACTCCAGACTTTCACATATAGTTTTTGTAACCACTCCTTTAAGATCCTGAATGTGTGATGTAAACATCTGAACATTGATATGTTTATTTTGTCCTCTAGTCTGCCACTTCATGCAACTGAAAACATGCCCATAGCATGATGCTAGCACCATCATGCTTGCCTGTGGGGATGGTATTAGCCTTATGATGAGCAGTTCCAGGTTTCCTCCGAACATGATGTCTAGCATTTGAAGCAAAGGGTTCAGTCTTTTGCTCCTCTGACATATAAGACCCAGGAATTTATGCAGAACACATCCCCGCATTGAACAAGAATCCTCTCACACATGCAAATTAATCCCAGGAAACTACCAGATCAACTCTTTTGCCACTTAACCCAGCCACTGTGGAATAGATGGCCCTAATATCATCTGCAGGTGGTAGCAATGCAAAGGATATAGTATTATTGGAATAAACCAATCTCAGAAGAAGTAACACATTTTGGTGTATCTAGTTTAGCATGGTGGATAACTTCTAATCAAGAGAGAACTATCAAAGCTTAGCTGCTACTTTTTGTGACAACTGTCAACTGTCTGACAGCAGTTGTAGAGGTGTAGTGGGGTGGGTGGTTTAGGAAGGGCCTGTCAGAGCAGAGCTTTTCCAGTCTAGACATGATGTAAAACCTGACCACCTTAATAAAAACTACATCAAATACCAACCTCTTGTAAAACACATGCACAAAGCATAAAACCATTAAATGAATGATAGAGAGCACATAAGCTAGCTTGCATCTTTAACTTAGTAGTTTTTCACAGACTAATCTGATCAATGCCTTGAATGTTTGCTCTGTGAACTATGCAGTCCTGGAGAGCACCAGGTTCAGTTATACCCAGTAAATCAGTTCTGGCTTTATTCATAAATGACCCAGTAAATTACTGGATATTACTGTTAGTGTGAAAGGAGCTTTTGTTTTATCAGACCTCATCAGGACTTTGTTTCTCCCTGTCTAAGTATCCTTTGGGTCAATGTGGTAAACGACTGTCAGGTTTGGTGGAAGTTATTTGAGGACCCAAATGCAGAGATGAGGAGGCAGAGACGAGTGTCTTGCAGATTTAATGAGTGGTGGCAACAGAAGCGCAAATCCAGGAACAATAAAAAAAAAAAAAAAAAAAAAACCAGAATACACCAAGAAAAAAAAAACAGGAGGAATGAACCAATGACAAGAAAACAACAAGAAACAACACAACAGGAGGAGAAAAGAGGGACAAAACAAAAAAGAAGCGAATAAACAGATAAGAAGCAGCAGGGGAGAAAAGAAACGACAAGAAAGCAACGAGAAAAAAGAAGAACGAAACAAGCAACAAACAGAAACTAAAAAAAAAATGCAACACTGCACAAATACAACACAAAACGTAAAAGAAACCAATGACCAACAAAAGAGAATGCCATAAATATGGGAGTAGCGGCCTAGTGGTCAGGGCATAGAGCTTGAAATCCTAAGGTTCTGAGTTTGAGCCCCAAACCCACAGACTGCCACTGTGGGTCTCTGAGCAAAACCCTTAACCCCACACTGCTCCAATGGTGCCCCACGATAGCAGCCCACTGCTCCCCAAGGGTATGGGTTAAATGCCGAGGTAAATTTCTCCAATGTTAGATCAATAAAGTTCAATTATAATTAAATAACTGAAAACTAAAAAAGAAACTAAAAAAGAAGTCCACAAAGGGCAAAACCACGACACTGACAGGCTGCGATTTGTCTTTCATTAGGGGGTGGATTTTTTTTCAGCCATTCTGCCACACAGGCCTGGTTGGTAGGTTGCTACAGAGATGGTTGTCCTTCTGGAAGGTTCTCCTTTCCACATAGGAAAATGGAGCTTTGACAGAGAGACCATGGGGTTCTTGGTCAGTTCAAGAGTCATGTTTCCAAACTTCCTCCATTTATGCTTAATAAAGACCAATGTGCTCATTAGACCTTTGAAGCAGCAGAATGTGTTCTCCAATTGTCCCCAGATTTGTGCCTTAGTATAATCATGTCTCTGAAGTCTACAGACACTTCCTTTGACTTCACGTTTGCACTTCGAAATTAATGTCAACTGTGAGAGCTTTTATAGGTAAGTTTGTGCCTTTCCTATCTAAATACTCTATCCTGGCCAAGGAACACTGGATGAGCTAAATAAAATCCGATCAATTGAATTTGACACAGGTGGACTCCATTTAAACTGTAGAAAAATGTGACGATAAGTGCAAACAGTATGCACCTCAGCTTATTTATTAGCTCCATAGTAAAGGCTGGGAATACTGATAGAAATGTGAGTTCCTAGGATTCTTTTTCCAATAGATTTGCAAAAATCTAAAAAAAGAACAACTAAACAAACAAACAAAAAACAGTTTACATGTCATACTGGGGTTGTGTGAGTAGAATTGTGTTAAAAGTAAATACATTTTTCTCAATATAAGATGAGATTGCAACATCAGTAAAAATTGACAAATTGTAGCTCTGCGAATACTTTCCTGGTGCCGTGTTTATCCATGATCTCAAAATGGAAAAAAAAAAAAAAATGGTACAACTACCAAATCATGCTCCTCTGCTTAAAGCAGGGGTCAGCCACCTTTAAAGGCTCATACTGTCCTTTTGTTCCTGCTTTTAATAAATCAAATTTGACATGACCAACAAAGTCCACCTTATCCTTTAAAAGATTTCATTTTAACAAGTATTTCATTGGTAAAAATTGCATTAAAAAATGCTCAAATAACAACAGAATGAAGACCTTTTCGTTTAACGGAACATATATGTTAAAAGACAGGAAGAATCATGATGTTTCCGACTTCATGGAAGAATACTTCCATGTTCCATTTGTTTATTCATTTTTGCAAAGTTTTTTCTTAATACTTAATCTGAAAAAAATCGTACAATAACAGCTAAGGCTATAGCTTTAATTACCTTTAGACCTAAAACAGCAATCAGTTCATCAGTTTTGGCTAGTGCTCTCAAGGGGCACAGTAGGGGCATACAGAGCCACATATGGCTTAGAAACCATTGGTCAATTTACAAATCTGACCTTCATGGAAAAAGAGAGCCAATGGTGAAATAAAATAATTAAAAATGCTAATTTAAAGTTTACATAAAGCTATATGGAGGTCATAGCAAACAGGAAGAAAGTACTCATTAGATTAAAACTGAACTTTTAGGACTACACACATAACACAAAATCAAATAAATCAACCGAAGGTGTCAAAATCACACAGTGAGGATGCTTATGGTCAGCAGGGACATAAAAGCTGGTCAAAGTTGATGAGAACGTGGATGGAGATAAAACCAGGGTAATCCCGAGGGGGAAAAAAAACGATTGGAGGGCGGAAAAGAGGACTATAACACTGAACTGCAGCTAAACAAGAAATCCAAAATATTTAAGAGGCACGAATACCTTCGTAGGGGTGCTGTATTAGGACATATAATTCGATCCCTTTGCGCTTAAAAACACACAAGCTTTCCCAGTCATACAGGTTGCGACATAACTGTGAGTAATAAGTCATTCTGTTAACAGAACACAGGGTATGCTACAGTTTTTAAATGACCATCTGTTTTGATAAGTGCTTTAACAAAAGGTCACTGCCCTCAAGTCCATTAGACACAAAAAGACAGTGTCCTCAGTCCTCAGTTAGATCACACAATGAATGGATCTGTGGCTGCAGATTAAATTAGGGGCACAATGAATAAAGAAATAAACCACTTCTATAAAATTTACATTTTTGAGGTTTTTAGGACGTGGGAAAGACTACAGTGCACTCAATTAACACTATAATGTGCAGCTAATTATTTATGCATGCTTATAATAAAAGCATCTAAACAAATGTGCTTTGTCCCCTTGATGTCACAATCTAGGCTAAAGAGAAGACAGCATTTCTGGTTTATGGAAATAATCTCAGCATTCGCCAAAAAGCAAATGCAGCCTGATTTAATCCCCCTCTTATTGTGAGGCGCAAACGAAATGGGTTCTGTAGCCTTTTCGGAAGGCATCCCCTGTTTTAAATAGCAGAATTCTGCAATCCTCTTACATGCAGCGTATGAAAACAACCAGCCGTCCCCATCCTTTGCTACAAAGTTGTTGATCCTGTGCCTCTATAAAAAGCCTATTCCCAGGCATTCCAGTGCTGTCGCTGCAAATATGCTGAAGGCTGAGGACAGAGCCAGGACCACTGGGATTCACAGCATACTGGACCGACTGTAAAATTCCTTCCAGTAGATTACACAGAGACAGTCAACCTGTTATTTAGTACTACAGGGATGCGTATGATAGGGGCAGATGAACTGTGCTTTACCCTTATCTTGGTCTTCTTAAATCATGGGAAACGACAAGTATGACATGGGCTGAAGAAAACTTATGTGGGAGAGCTTAAAGCAATAAAATGCAGCTGCAGTTTTCTGTACCTCTGCATCTACATACACAGTTTGGAGAAGATGCAAAGAACAAATAAAGTTTTGATATGAAACAAACAGAGGATATGAGAAATTTAACTGTGAAGAAACTCAGTTGTATTGATTTCATGGAGTCTAGGCTCTATAAATAAAATTTAAAAAACAGTTTAAATATTTTCAATTTAATTAAAAACATAAAACTAGTTTAAATTTAGACAAACAATACATAGAATCTGAGGTTCATGTAGAGTAAAATTTGCTTCTCCTTTTTTTTCTGTTGTTGTAGCATAGTTTAACATTATGGTGGGTCTGATTGCCTTGTCTGGATTAATGGAAGAGCAGCACAATGGATTTTAGATTTTAAAAAAGGACAAGAATGAAAAATAAAACATATTTCTAATAAAAGATAGATACATAAAAAATTATTCTAAAGGTATTTTTCTACTTGTCTCAACTGATACATTGAAATTTTAATATTAAAAGGCAATATAAAAGAAGAAAAAAATCAGCAAGAAAAGGATACTGTTTAAAGTAGGTAAAGAAATGCACCTACATCCTCTTCATTAAAATTGGAACAGAAAAGTAGGAGCATCTTTCAGGCTTCATTTAACCAAAACAATTATGCTTTATGAGCTCCAGCTGTGCCTCAAGGATGAATTTAACAATGCCTGATTTTCTCTTTATTCATTATTCAGCATGTAGAATTTGGAGGTTTGACTGTATACTATCTACTTCAATTTAAAAGCATGAATGTTCATTTCTTGTCTTGCTGCTTCCAGCTCTACCTCCCAACATGGATCAGAGGTCATTCCACGCTTTTAAAATGAGCTCTAACATTGGTGTACATTAATGAATTCAGGGAAAAACATTGACTCATATTCAATACTACAAAAAAAAAACAAAAAAAAAACATAATCCGATATCCTTCTTAAACATGGGGGGGTTCTAGATGGGCCAAAAGGGGCCAGCGCCCCTATAGAACTGGTCCTGACCCCTGTATTAAAGACATAATGCAAAACAAATATATGATAAATAAACTATGATATGCCCTGGAACATAAACAGCAACTGAAAGATCCCACCAACCAATTTACTTTTTTAGTATTACTGTTTTATTTTACTGATATAAACTATTATTTTGATCTGCTGGATCTGAGGTTTATAAAGCTGCAAATGGCCCTGTGGTTCACTTTATATATCAAGCAATTAACTTTTAACAGGTTTTTTGTTTTATTCCTTTATGCAGCTCCCCTTTGATAAACACAGTGGTCGGTTTTTACAAGAACTGTTATAATTACAGATGCACACTATAGACTTTTTTTCGGGGACATTTCCTTTTTTCTTTAAGTTTGATGCATGCATTGACTGGATTGTGTATTTTCTTTAGCTTGGGAGTATTAAAACAGATATTGGATTCAGTTTTTACATAGACATAAAATATAACAAAGCTGCACTCGTTAAGGTGTTAACAGTCACTGTTTATGACCATAATTAATACAACTGGATCAAAATCTAATCTCTTGCCAACTTAGACATGCAAAAACTCTTGATCATTGAAAAGGAAACCAAAATAAACACATCAAATTGTTTCAAGCCAAGTATAATATTCTAATTCACTATAATAATATCCATATAATCTTAATAACAAATTTTGTAATTATAATAATCTACTCGGAGTGCATTATATGGGAAACTCTGATTGCATGCAGCAGATTTCTGTTTGCTCTTGCAGGCCTGGGAATTCAAATACCCACAGGTCACCCTGTCCTACTGCTTCTAACCAAACATTTGTTCTTTTTCTGGGAAAAACACACAAAAAAAATCCTCAGAGACATCTGCTTAAGAAAGGCAAACACAGATGATGCTTCCTCCTACAGTAAAATGATGCCGTTTTGTTTCGCTCTTTATCATTGCTGTATCATTAACGGTCGCTTTAATAATTTTTCTTCCATGCTCTTTAATCCAAATTGTACCCTATATTTAAGATTGTTAAATATTTTTTATAGATATATCTTTATAACAACCATGAAATAATAACTGCTTCAATAGGCGGATCATCCGAGCGTTTCGTGGCGTTCCCCAGCCTGCTCACATCAAGCTAACGTCCCGGTTAACGGACAGAGAGCTCCGTACTCGCTCTGTTTCCATCCCGCCTGCCTGCAGAGCTCACCGGGAAGGACGAACAACTCACCTAGGCTGGAGCACAGAACAAAGCAAGCCAACAGCCTCGCCATCGCCATCTTGCAGCGTTTGATTTAGGGGACGCCGTACAGCTGCTCACACTCAGCACCTCTGAGGCTGTCTGTCCGAGCAGACTGCTGGATGCTGCCATCGACAGGTTTCCATGGCTACAAGCGTGGACCGTGAATGTGTGTGAATTGACGCCCTGAGCGTTGTCTGACAGGCGGTGGGCGGAGTCAAACAGAAGCTCCGATTTTTCACACACACAGAGCACACTGAACGTATGCTGGCGTGGGAAAGAGGCGACCCGCACCCTCTAGTGGTTATTTAGAATAAAATAAAAATACAAATAAAATAAAATTTCTATGCTTTTGTTGTGGCTTACGGAAGAGGATTAGGGCCACTGAAAAAAAAAGTTAACAGATTTTTAAATTTCATTTCAGTTTAAATTGGGAAAAAAGTCAGAATTCTGACTTTCATCTCAGAATTCTGACTTTTTTTTTCAGAATTCTGACTTTTTTCTAAGAATTCTGACTTTAATCTCAGAATTCTGACTTTTATCTAAGAATTCTGACTTTTTTATTGACAGAATACAGTCAGAATTCTAAAAATTAGTTAATTTTTTTTTTTTTCCAGTGGCCCTAATCCTCTTCCGTAGTGGCTACTTCACAGGGGCACAGAACAAAAGAATAACAGACACACACAAGAAACAGCACAAGAGCACATAGTTCATTTTAATAAAGGTATTGTGGAGGATTTTTTTTTTTTTTAAACCCACCCTCTCCACTTTAAAGGAAAAGTCAGGTCAGCATGGAATAATCAATAGGTCATTTTCGTCGCAATCACTGGGTCCGGGAACGGCCATTTTTGCCCAAATATAGTAACACCTGACATCTTCCCGCAGTGACGTCATGGTGCGGTAAGCCTGGGCTCTAGGGCCATTCTCTCCGCTTTACAAGCAAAATCAATGGAAACAAGACACACCTGAAATCAACAATAATTATTGAAGATTTCCAGAGGACCTCACCACTGAAAATCATGAGAGCTGTAGCTAAACTGACAATGCCCACGTGCATGGCAGTTGGATGTTGTAATACATCTGGTAAAAGTAATACAAGTAAAACATTTTTTATTACCTTTCAGATTTATGATCCTGCAAGGACGGGTTCGCCGTTGGATTGCCAACTTGAAGAGGGAGGATTTGCCATCGACCCTCTGGGTAGAGAAAAAACACGTCATTAATCGGTTATTCACTTCTTTGCACATTGCGCCTGTCGTCGCCATCATAGATATTAGCGCATTGCGACAAACGGCAGATACAGCATTGGGATTGCTCAATAGCCAATACCGCGCCATTACGTCACAAACCAGTAGGTGGCAGTAGTGCTCTTAGACATACATGGAAGTCTCTGGTAAAGCACATTCAAATGAAATTACTCTTAAAACACCTATAGGTTATTGAAAAGTATGTACTAATTTCATACTTAAAATACTTTCAGAAGTTTGTATTCTAAAGCTGACTTTTCCTTTTTTTTTTTTTAAATGCGTGTACAACAGTATGCATGAGCCCATTTCTCTTTGTGCACGCCCTGTTTAAAATTTGCTGTTCCTTATAGCTCATACAAGCTGACTGTGTCCACATAGAGGAGGGTCTCAGTTAACTTACCGTTTGGATAGATGATCACTACTCTTTGCTCTGTTGGTCACATAACTCCTCCTCCTCCGAGCTGTGCCTGCATCATCTTTGTTATTAGTTACCGCTATCGAGTAGAGACAGCCTATGGCACCTCCCATAATGCTTTGCAAGGAGATCTCTCTGTGCAAAGCATTCTGGGATATATCTGCCTATTCTGATGCCTTTGTTTTCTTCTCATACACTTCGTAGACACTTTTTCTCTTACGACCATTTCCAAAGAACCGCAGTGAGAAAGGTACGTTTCAATGACTGCCTGATACCGTAGCACACCACACATATGCGGCTTAAAATGCGCATATACACAAAAAAAGATAGCTAACGGGACGAGCACATAGAAAAGCCTTACGTATACATATCACCAGAATAACAATTAGGAGGACCACTTATTTAGATTATCCACCCGGAAATAAAACATCGTCACAAATCAGTGGTTCACACCACTGATTTAGCAGATGAAAAAAGGTGATCCTTTTTTAATATGACTGGAGCTTAAAGCTGACTGTCATTTCTAAAGAACTATTAAAATTAAAAAAGTATAGGGAATATATTAAATTGGTCCAAAGGATAAATCAGTGGCAGTCTCTTCCATCAGCACGTATCAACATAAGAAATTGATTTAGATTTATACAGCAAAATGAATCTAAATAAGCCGATGCCCTTAATCAGAGTTGTTAAAAAATATGATTTTCCAAAGAAATTCCTGTTTTTGTCCCTATAAGATAATCACATATGATGCAATTGAAATAAGATAACAGGTTTTTACCCCTTAAATGTAGTAATTTTATCATATTGGCAAACTGTACTACTTACCTGCTTAAATAAGGGAAAATACCCTTAAGTGAAGAAAAATAGACTTCAGCAGTGTGTTTTCGGTACAGGGGCCATAACAGAGTCAGAAATACTTTTAATAATAATAATTCATGTTCTTGTTGTCATTGCAGTTATTGATTTCAACCAAATGTATGTTGCCAGCCTAGGGATCAGTCAGGGGATCATCTCAGGGTAATCAATCCCCTCCACCACCATGCTCCTCAACTAAAGTGAAAATGGAAGCAGTGCTTTAACACTCACCCTCATCATTAGGAAGTCACAAAAGAACTCAGAAAGACATCTAAATCATTGCAAATATCACTGGCCTCAATTAAGTGCAGTCGAAGATTCTGAACACTAAGGATGGCTTCAATTAGAGAGTTCAGAGGTAAAGGAATTTGCCAAAACACAGAAGGGTGAAAAATATTATGAGGACTGCAGGCAAAAGGGAAACCTTCTCAATCGAGTGCTTCGGATATCTAGGATAAAATAAATATAGCATCAGGGAGTGTCATAGAGAGACTCTAACATGGTCCTTGTAGTGTAATCCTGAGGGGCTGCATTGCTGCTTTAGGCCCTGAACCGGCTGTAACAGATACAGATATTTAGTATCATATATTTTTTTTTGGCAGATATTTTTGCCTATTCTTATCTGTATATTGCAAAAAAATCTCTCCTGTGCATTTAACACATGCTCTGAGAGAGCAGTGGGCTGTCATTGTGCAGCACCAGGAGCTTTAGGGGGCTGAAGTATATGGGACTCAAACCTATTTAATTACAAATAAACCTTCATTTTTGGAAAGATTTGTTTGCATTTCTTTACAGGTAACATTGTGTATGATTATAGTTAAAGGCGGATTTTGTGACCTAAGGAGTTGACACAAATGAGTTATTTTGAATGATGTTTTGAATATACAGCACTTGTCACTATCAATGCTACAAGCGGGGCTCCCCTCTTGAAATACCAACTATTTAAGTTGGGAGTTGACTTAGACTAATCTTGTTGTCATTTTGTATAAGAAATATGTTCTAGTTTTGTACAGTTCTCATAACATTTCTTAAAGTACAGCAGTGATCAAATGTAAACATTGAGGGAGAAAAACAAAACATGATGAAAAAAATGCATTAATATGGTCAGGTTGATGCAGAGTCTGCGACATGATTTAAAGTTTTTTCAGCATTCAGCTATCTGATGGCGATGGGGAAGAAGCTGTTTTGGAATCTGCTTGACCTGTATTGAATGCTGCGAAGCCTCTTCCCAGAGGGCAGCAGGAAGCCTCTGCTCACACAGTTTGCTCTACCATTTTCTGCCTGCTTGATTGCTGGACATGGCTGAGGCAAGGAAAAAGTTTAAACCTTCTGAGTAGGCTCAAAGGAGAAAACGTAAAAGGGATCGTGCCTGAGGAAAAATAAGAGTCAATCATGGAAAGAAGTTTATTTGTTGGCCTAGCCTGAAAGAAGAAGCCGGATGTCAAATTGATTGTCTTTTCTCAACTTTATTATTAGACTGGTAAGTTAACACTTTGCTCCTAGTATACAGTATTTTGTCTTTGTTATTATTTTCAATGTTGTCAGGAGCTGTGGTGTTTTCTGTGCCAGCGCATTGTTTGTTTTTGTCCCGTTAGCGATACGTTGTTGTTCGGCTCCGAATCCCACTTCAAAGCAACTTCTGCGAGTCACAAATCTCTGCCAAGTTTTAGAGATTGAAGCCATCATGCCAGCGCTTAAACAGCGTGCAACACCCATCTGACTGTCACTTGCCGCCACCCCACAGACTGATCGGCCTGCCCTGCCTAACCCTCCAGCCTCCTCCTGCTTGGCAGCCACCTTCCCTGCTGCAAGCTCCTGCATTTCGTGCCTGCAGACCTCCACAGCCCCGCTCACTCCCCCCCAGTAGATCATTCTGTCTAATTCTAATTCTGTTGTTCTCATCGTACACATACCCCCATAACACTAGCTATCTGTTGCAGTGTGCATTACGCTCCCTTCCTTTCCAAACGCCCTGAAGGAAACTCTGTGGGCCGTGTTTTTTTAATAAACAATCTTAAATCTGCCCTACCTATCTCCTTGGTGTGATCTTCATGTGGGTCAGAAAATAAGGAACTATGAAAGATGTTTAGTATAAGCAAAACATGGGTAGTTACAGGTCTAACGCCCCTAGTGTACAAAATTTACACAGCATGCCTTTAACAATAAAAAACTGTACTGTACTTGTGGGACTCATTCAGCTCAGAGCCCTGGGCTTGCCTGAGATATGGTGAAGGCTCTGGGTGTGGATTACCTTCTGGAGAGAAGCTTGCATCAAAATGTCCAATGAAAGACACACAACCATGCATACGCACTCCTAAGGACAATTTTAGAGAAGCCAATTAACCTAACAGTCATGCTTTTTGGACTGTGGGAGGAAGCTGGAGAAATCCCATGCATGCACAGGGAGTACATGCAAACTCCATGAAGAATGACCCTGGGCCAGGAATCAACCTCGAACCTTTTTGCTGCAGGTCAGCAGTGCCAATTTCAATCTTTTATTCAGTTTAATTATATAGCAACAATTTGCAACACATGTCAAATCAATGCACTTTATAGAGACAATTCCACCAGATCATGCAGTCAGATTGGTTCAAAGTTTTCTATCTAAGGAAAACCAGTTGATTGCATAGATACACTGACTCGACGGCAATCCCTCACACCAAGAATGCATGTAAAGACAGTGGA